GCTGCAGACGGGCTAACGTTAGCCCTGGGCGCTGCAGACAAACTAACCTTAGCCCAGGCCGCTGCAGATGGGCTAATGTTAGCACTGGCCGCTGCAGACGGGCTAACGTTAGCCCTGGCCGCTGCAGACAAACTAACCTTAGCCCAGGCCGCGGCAGACGGGCTGACCTTAGCCCTGGATGCTGCAAACGGGCTAACGTTAGCACTGGCCGCTGCAGACGGGCTAACGTTAGCACTGGCCGCTGCAGACGGGCTAACGTTAGCCCTGGCCGCTGCAGCTCTGACACAGTGACTCAGGTTCCTGCCCGCTTACCTGATCTATCTATAGTGTTATTGTGAAGTTTACTTAATAGCGCAGATATCCTGAGAACTGATGATGTCTGTGTTACAGACCCTGGTTGGTGCACTGAAGTATTTATGACAATAAAGTAGAGAATCTCAATGTATGATTCTAATCTAATGTGATTCCAGAGGAGTTAAAGCAGCAGGATGAGACTTCCACCTTCTTCAAATGACGGTGAAACCAGTCATGTGGGCTTTGGAGACATTATGAAACGCAGCCAGTTTTAGCTCATCTCACGTCCTCAAAGCTTCTCACAGTTTTTTCTTTGGCTGTAAAGCTTCTTGGTCGCACTGCAGATGGTTGAGAATGAGATTTTCAAACCTTCAAGCAGCCGTCTCGCCGCTTTTCCATCCTTCTGTAAATTTGATAAAAGCATTTTGAACACAATGTGTGTCCGCTGTAAGGTTATGAAACCTATTTTATGAAATGCCTAAACGTTTAATTTAAAATATCTGTTATCATTTGGCTCTATTGATCCTGTTGTCAGACTGGCTGTTGTTCTGGGGGGGGGGCATTGTACAGTCAGTACTTGTGTTTGTAAACTGCTTCTATCTGTTCTCAACAGAAAATGATGGATTCACTACTGAACACAGACTCGTTCGAGGGTGAAAAAGAGCTCCTAAAACACGTTTAAAACCAAAACCCAAATGGAGGGATGGCGAAGTTTTTAAATTCAATTGACTTTATTTTATTCCTCTCTCACATCAAGTCACCTCAGGTCATTTTAGAGACATTCATTCAGGTCATCCAGTCAGATTGGTTGAAGTTTTTGTTAAAGAAAACCACCTGATTGCATAGAGTCATTGACTCTTCAGCAATCACTCACACCCAGCATGCATGCAGCGACCATGGGGAGGAAAACTCCTGTTGAACCCTGCTAGTCCCAGGAGTTTCAGGTTTACCTACAAGCCTCCCTCCTCTCTGAAATGTTATGTATTAACTAAACCTTGCTAATTCTTTTACTTTACAAGTATATAAATACTTAAAATCATCTACTTTAAATAAATGAATGCTCAATTTATAAAGTGTTTAAACTAGGCCTGCAACTAATTATTATTTTGAAAATCGATTAATCTGTCAATAATTTTTTAGATTAACCGATTAATAATTGGATAGCCAAAGGTTCCCCAAGAAGATTTAAACTTAAAACAGGTGAAACTATAACTTTTCAACTTTCTTATCTTAAATGCAAAATGTTCATATAT